AATCCTCATATACACACTCATCATATACACCATACATACACACTCATCATATACACCGTTGTAAACACATATACCTCATGCGCCTTCTTAGATATTGAGCGAGCCTCGGCTGCCTGGTCCGTGACCGCCTGTTTGTTGGCATTGACCCCCACACTCTGACTGTCACTGTCATCATCCTCATCGCTCTCTTCGACATTACCTGTACGCACACAACGGTACATCCATCCATCCATCCGTGTATCAGAATACGTTGTTAGTGTCCTATTCAAGACCGAACCCACGCAGCCAGTCCAAAAGTCGCATGCACACACAAAAACGGGTGCAAGTAGGCATCTATACTGCGACAATATTGTACCTATACCACGCTACTAGTGGTAACTATACTACACTACTATTGGTGACTATACTATGCTACTATTGGTAACTATACTACGCAGCTAGTGGTAACTATACTACGCTACTATTGGTAGCTATACTACACTACTATTGGTGACTATACTACGCTACTATTGGTGACTATACTATGTACTATTGGTAACTATACTACGCTACTATTGGTAACTATACTACTATTGGTAACTGTGAAATTTCACGACTGCTTGAGTGATATAGAGGACAGGCAGGTTGAGTGCATACGGTTGCCAACATATCCGTCGCCTTACCAATGAAACCCAGGAGCAAACACTGACCGGTTCTGATATGCCTACGCAGTGTCTGCAAGGCACTCGAACGCTCACGGACAAGCTCTACAGCTCACCTTCAACCCTAAAAACCTACAGCCTACCCTAAAACCCTACAGCCCCAGAGCTTACGCGTATTCCTTTGTGCTGTGTGAAGGAACAGTGATACACACAGAGATGTGGCCAACTCCTCAAAACCACACAGCTCATGAAGTGCTTCAGGCCCATGGCATTTCATCATACACTCCCGTACGAATCCAAACAGAGCTACACCTGGGTATCTCCATGTGCAAACACACACACACACACACACACACACACACATATATATATATATACACCTTTGGGATATGCGCACATGTATATAGAGTCACTATACTCACCGTACTGCCGCGCGATGGCTTGCCGTATGGCCCGATCCTCGGCGGAAAGGGTATCAGCAAAGTTCTTCTTCGTCGCAACGGGTGCAGCGTAAGTCTCTGATAAAGCCAGTGCTTGGCTGGATGCGAGGGAATGTACAAAACAAGGACAAAATGAATGGGAAAGAAAAATACAAGGACAAAATGAATAAGAAAGAATAAAACAAGGTCAGTTACCACACAACATACCACACAACACACATACACACTCAACAAATACCACACAACACTTCAGGATACAGATACAGACGCACTGCACCAGGCCACACCAGTCATACACCAACCCTACTACACATACAATACAATTGCAGGAGAAGTCGCATACCACAAGGCACACCAACCACCACTTACACATACACAGCTCACAGTTAAGAACGTCAAAACACACACAATAACCCTAAAACACAGTACACACACAATAACCCTAAAACACAGTACACAGATAAAACCACTAGACACACGCGCATACAAAGTGGAAGCCAGAGCATCATCCGCCTTCTTCTCTTCTGGGCGTGATTGAGTTTTGAGACTCTCGTCCCATTTTTTTAAAATGGTTTCCGTGAAGTCTTCGGGCACTTCCTAGTGACGAGATGAAGAGTATAAATGATAAATATAGAATATAAACGATAT